GGTTGGAGCAGGGAAGTCTTGCCAGAATGACATGGAAGATGTAAATAACGGCGAATCAGATGATAAATAAACAACATTTTTGCAAAACTTCGACAAAATCTCTCTCCAAAAGCTCTTCAGGATGCTAAGGTGGATTAACAGTGAGGTTTTGCTTGTAAACCAACTGCTTAAAAGTTAGGAGACAAGGGCAGGAATAAACGGGCAGGATCTGCGCCAGAGCTGCGCTGGTCAACACACGCGTAGAGGAGAGCAGATCGTGCTGCCGCCGTACGGTGTTTTGATGGTCAAATCTAAAGCTGACTGTGAAGAGCTGGAAAGGGATCGCAGGATGTAAAGCGGCTGAGCAGACGGACATCAAATGCAATTCCATATAATTAAATTCCAGGCAATGTAAAATTAACCCTATGCGTACGCAGCGGTGGGCTCTAAGTGAGCTTTGTCGTTCGGGAAAGATGCGGGGGTCCCTGCGGGCGCCTCGCCTGCACGCCCTGTGTGGGTAACCCAGGGACAAGGGCATTGGGAGGGAACTGCTGGGATTGCTGTGACCGGCGGGCACGGCCAGGGCAGCGCGCGGAGGACAGGGCAGCGAGGCAGAGAAGCAGCCGAGCAGGGAGACGGAGCAGCTCCCATGGCAGGGAGACTTGGTGCACGCCGCAGCCTGGCCGGGCCCCGGGGAAGGGACCTGGTAAGGGGTCACTAAGAGGGGAAAAAGGGAAGGAAAATTTTCATTTCCTAGAGCAGAGCTTCAAAGAGCACCAGAGGGCTGGATCCGGTTCGAAACGATGGGAAGCGCTTCTCAAACCACGCATTACCGTGTTGTGGGAGGCTGCCTCCGCTGTGGAGACCAAGCGGGCAAATGGAGCCAAAGGGGCACGAGGGAGCGCGCAGAGGTTGGTGTGCTGAGGCTGGGGCAGGCCCGGGGTGCCCCCAGCCCCCCTGGCTGAAGAGGACAAGGACAAGGTCCCGGTTGCCTGCTCTGACTCAGCCTTTGAATGGTCCCAGGCCTCCCCACCCTGCGCGGGGCACGCCAGCCCGGTGGCCCTTCCCCAGGGCCCAGAGCCCGGTCCCTGCCCCAGGACCACCCCAGGCGCTCCGCAGCTCCTCACCCTGCTCCTGCGTGCCCTGACAGCCCTTCGGGGCACCGCGCGCCCTGACGGCCCTTCGGGGCACCGGCAGCGCTCGGCAGCTCCGGGCCGGGGGCTCCCGTGCTCACTCCTGGGGCTTGAGAGCCTAAAGGTGCAAGGCAGCAAAGCTCCACCTCGGGGTCTGCTCCGTCCTGCTCCCCGCAGGCTCTCCGGGAGCCGGTCCCCCTCTGCAGCCCAAAATCCCTCGGGCTTTCAATGCCCGAGGCAGGAAAGCGGGAGCAAAGCTGAGCTGAGAGCAGGCAGAAGGCGCAATGCCCGCGGACATAACCCCCTCCAGCGTCACTGCGGGCACCCAGCTCGCCCTGCCGATGCAAATTACCAGTTACGAAGTGCAGAAAATTGCTGTCTAGTTTGCCTTTCATCCATTTATTATGGCTTTCTTTTTATTGCTAATTATCACTTTCGGTACACCACTGAGTGGGGGGGTTCTCTTCTGTGGTGTTAGCTTGGTGGCTCTTGGAAATAGATCTTAAAGAATGATCTTTTTCCACAATTTTCTGTCGCCTTTTCCCGTCGCTGTTTCTTCTCAGAGTTTTTCTTGTCTTTGTGGGGTTTGACTTTTTAAAGCACCATGTCTTTTTGTTTACTGAATGGATTATTCATTGAATGTAATCAGGTCGTGATCATTGTTCCCCAGGCAACCACCAACGAAATTAGAGAGCTATGATCATGAATTAATTTAAAAGTTTTAAAAAAATAAAACGGCAACTGCAAGGCTTAATAAATCATTGCTGAAACAAGGCATTCGCAGCGGTGCCAGCAGTCACCGCGGAGGGCTTTAGCACCTAGGGAACGTGAGGACCACGTTCTGAGGTTGGGAGGACTGGGAGGGGGCGACCACCTGGCGGCAGGACGACGGCTGCCGCCACTCGGCTCTTCATCGCAGGAGCTGTCGCCTTCCAGTTCCCCCTCGCTCCGCATGGCCGCGGGGTTCGGGTGGCTCGCAGGGACAGGCTTTGAGAAGCGATGCCATTACACGCGGGGTGCTCTCTGGGACAAGAAACTCGGGGTCCCCGCTGCCCACCCCTCGCCTGCCCCATCCTTCCCCTGCCGCGGGTCTCGGGGCCGGGCGCCTTCCCCCAGCAAAGCTCAGTCTCATCCCTCCTGAAGGGAAAGGTCTAAGTCTACCCAAGTTTCTTCTATGGAAACGCACTGGTGCCTGCTTGAGGTTTATCGGCGTACAATGTACATAAGGGATGGCATATGCACACATATACCCTGCACAGTTATCCCTCCTGCCTGTGTGCCACTGATTAGCACTCGTTAACTTGGAATCACAGAATCAGGGAATGTTTTGGGCTGGCAGGGCCCTTTCCAGGCCATCCCCTCCATCCCCCTGCCATGGGCAGGG